ACTGACTTAGGGAGAGTCACTATCACATATGGAACAAAACTCAACATTTTGCTATTAGATGTTTGAGTGAACCAATATATGCAAACATGCATTGATTAATGAATAGGTCTCATTGTGTTAACTGCTCTGTAATAAATCAGTACATAATTAATGAGGGCCCTCGTTACACTTCTGGTTATCTTAAGCATTCATTTTCATTAAAACTTCTGCCAGGTTAAAGCCATCTGCAGAAGGTTGCAGATGTGAGTTTCATAAATTCAGAGTTGCAAATGTGAACCATATATGTACTTTTAATTTTTTAGTAGCCACATTAAAAAAGTGAAGACAAAAAAGTGAAATTACATTTTAATAATGTATTTGATTTATCTCAGTATATCCAAAATATTATCATTTCAGCATGTAATCAATATAAAATTATTGAGATATTTTACATTTTTTTTGTACTGAGTATTCAAAATCTGGCATGTATTTTATACTTACTGCACATCTCAAATCAAACTAGTCACATTTCAAGTACTCAGGAGCCATCTGTGGCTTGGCTACTATATTGGAGAGCGCAGGGCTAGCATCCCACTGCTATTTCACAGTAATGATAAGGTCTTCCTACAGCTTAGGTATGTTTTTGCTGTTACAAGAGAAAATGACAACAAAACACTGCCTGTTATTTGATTACTGTGGTGTTTCCCCAAATGCAGAACACTACTACCAAGAGCTACCCTGTGGAAAAACAGATTCCGTGATTAAATAAATTTAAAAAAATTCTATTTTACCTGCTTTTAGAGATTTACATGGAGGATTAATGTATCACAGACTCTGAGAAAACTCTAAAGAAACCTGTTGAGCTCTGTGTAAGGTTCAATCTCCCGATTGTCACTGTTGCCCAGCTACCAATATAAAAACATAGTCTGGCATGATACATTTATGGTATGCTTATTTGTTTTTTTCTACAGAGGAGTTTTAACACCCCTTCCCTCACTCCACCCTCAGGCCCATTAAAGATATAAAACAATAGTTCTGTCCCAGAGTATTCATTCCTACTAATTATCTTGCCCTCACGGAGACCTGAGATCATACTTTACTACCCTTTGGGGGACAAAATTCTGGAAACTGCCACAAGTGTCTCTATGTAAGAAAAACTTTGTCTCCCCCTCCTCCACTCTTTTGGGAGCCTATCTCTACTTATTCTTTGTATTCAGAATCACCCAAGAGCCGAGATATATCTTCTTGTTCTGCAACTATCTACTAAATTGAAACTAGCAGATGGCTTTAATGCCTTGCACATGGACATAAATCTTCAGAAAGTACCTAAATGCACACCTTCCTCTTACTCTTTCAGAAATAATGAGCACTCTACAAAGATGAGGGGAGAAATACCTGGATGTGTACACATATGTGTAAACACAGAATACAATTACTTTAGTAGAGT